TACGTGCGGGCGGGAAGAGTCATCAATCTTCAGCAGACAGAAAGGATGGGTCAGTGTGAAACTGCTTTTCACTTAGGGGAGGGAGAGTGAGAGAATTTTATTTAAATTCTGAAAACTGTATTTAAATCATTTTATTTACATAAACTTTAAACATTCTAGAATATGCCAAAATTCTGTATTGGGTATTGTCCCTTGAGCTGTGGGTTCTTCTGGATATAGAGTTGTAGCATGTGGTATGGGCACAAGTCACCCTTTAGTCAGAGCAGGGTACTCCCACGGGGTTTCCACCCAGGGTTCTCCAGTTTATAATACAATGGGGAACAGAAACACCATCCCTGGCCACTGACTTTGTACACATAGGTGTTCCGTAAGTGAGGATAATACAGAGGTGATAGAAGGGATGAAAAGAAGTGAAGGTGAGGAACAGGGTTCCTTCCCAGAGTACGGCGCTGTTTCCCTCAGAGTCCTGGACCTACCCTTCCGGGATGTGCTGCACTCCCAAGAGCTGTTTTTAACTCCCAGGGAAACCCAGACAACAGTGTGCATCTGCACTCCAGCTCAGTACCTTCTCCTAAGTGTTCTCTCTTTGATCCTGCTTCTCAGTTGAGCCCTCAGATTCTGAGAATCTGGTGTGATGGAAAAGGTACAGGACTTGGAAGAGGAAATGTGGTTTCTGACTACTGCTCTGCCGACGGATGCCTCCAATTCTCTCCTACCGTGTGACGGCTGCATAGCTCTGAGTTAGCACCTCTGTCCTCTTGAACTCAGTTTTTTCATCTATAACCAGAGGGAAGAAATGTTCTGCAAACATTGTAGGGAAAATTCACATCTCCCCAATGACACGGGACATGTACAAACCATCACCCTCCTCCTTGTCACATGCTCTCCCACCATCAGGATGCTTCAGATTTTAGCCATAGCCTCAAAAATGCAGGGGACCTCTTGAGACAACATTAAGCTACCCTGGAACATGGCTGTTTATCTTCATTTCCGCCAAAAAAAAATGTCTGCCGGTGTCTAGAGATATTTTCGGTTGTCTTGGCTGGTATTCCGAGTATGTGGTGGTAGTGTTCAGAGTGGTAGAGGACAGAAAAGTTGCTAAAGATCTGACAGTTCTCTGGGACAAAGTATTTATGTTACAGAGCCTGAATACTATGGAGAAGGTAACCTTCTACTAGCTGAAAAGATATTGTCTTGATAGCCCTAAAATGCAGTCCAGTCCTTTCTCCATTGTGGCGGTGCAGTAGGGGTTGGGAGCAAATGGGAGAGAAGACAGGCAGACAGATACCAGGAAGGGACTGTTTCCAATAGCAACCCTATGGGGAGTCACCCTTCTTCCTTATCTTCAAAGCCAAGCTTCATCCCAGCATCCTCTGGGCATCTTCCCCAAGCACCCAAAGGTTCAGTTCTCCTTTGAGAACCCTCAAGACTGTGCTGTTGATACATACTTTGAACTGCATACATCCCAGAAGGCCCCACCTTCTCATTTCACACATGCACTCTATACGTTAAGATTAGAGCAATTAGGACTCACACTTTCTTATAGGAGAAAAAAAAAAAAGGAGGTGGCAGGGTCTGTGTGTCCTGGCCAGGCCCTGGTGAGAGCTGTTGGGCAACTTCATGGAAAGTGGCTGCTAATGTGCTGATAATTGGCTTCCTGCCTCCTTTATGAAGTGTGAAGTGCTCAGCTAGCCTGTCAACAAGACATCAAGGACTATGCAAACCACCCTCCGGAGTTATTTGTCTCTTCCTTCCCACTGCCTCTCTGGAAGATGGCAATGACTGCCCTGTCTGAGGATGCCTAGAAGTGGCTCTGTGATCTCTGGTAAGGATGAGGCTAAAACAAGCGGAGGTTCTGTGAGCTAAGGCAGACGGGCTCCCTTTCCAGAGTACTGTCTTCAGGACGGTCACTGTGCGCAAGGTCCCAAAGCAGAGATGGAATAGAACAGCTCTGAACCCGTGAGCCTGGCACTTGGCACCGGGCAGACTGTCAACATGGCTGACCGGATGGAGAGTGCTTCCACTCTGGGCTGATATGGAGCAGTTGTCCTTGGAGAGGTGAACTGACTGAGGAGGACAAGAAAGTGAGAGGGAAAGAGCTGGCTCTGCGTATTGAGTTGGAGCACTTTAACATGAGAAGCAACTTGAGGTGGGGAAAGCTATCTGCTGAGCACCCACCACTGAGAGGGCATCTCAGAAGCTGGTGAGGGCTGCTGACGTCACGGCTCGCTGCAGAAAATGCTGGGCAACATGAAGGTGGTGTGGCTATGTGTAAGTTTGGCAGGGCACCTCCCGAGGAAGGAGCCGTTTTGAAGGAAATGCTTCCACAGAACAGAGCAGCATTTCACACTTCTTTGAACAATCATTCTAAGGCATTTCAGCCATCAAAAGAATTTCCCGGGTCCCCTTCTAACTCCTATAAAAGAGAGAGCAACATTGTTTGGCTAAGTGCTGTGTTGATGTTTGCTGTGACTAATGTGTGTGTGTGTGTGTGTGTGGGGCGGGGCTTGAGTGACTCTCTAGACTAACCGCCTCTTGCTAGGAGGGCTTTTGTGCGCATGTGTAAAGAACACTCTACAACACAGACAACCTCACTATTTTATATTTTTATAGACATTTATAGATGCTGTACCTTTCCTATTGATCAGAAACTATGGTGCAGGTTTGATCTAGATTTGGGAGCCGAAGCATCTCTCAGTCAAAGTGTGACCTGTGCTGTGATGGCCCAGTTTGGAGACCAGTTTCCAAGCATACACTGTTTGAAGGGGGACAGGGGCTCTCTTTGTTACAGTTATTTTTTGGCTATAAATATGATCCTGGAGATGCATGCAGCCTCTGGGGAGTGAAGATGGAGGGCTACCCTCTTGGGTCAGCAGGTTCCTGGAGAGGAGATAGTTTGGCTACAGCTGGGAAGCTCAACCAGTGGCAAGAATTGGGTTTCTAGATTGGCTGAGGGACCTCGGAGACAGACCAGAGATGAATACAGATCGCAGCCCCTTGTTCTCTGAAGTACAAAGATAGGCTTCCTCTGTGGTGTATGTGGGGAGAGCTGATTCCTCCTGCCTTCCTCCACTTGAGCCAATCTCGATGGAACTCAAGTTGTGTGTTCTTCTAGGCCTAAATAAGCAGACACAGCCGATGGATGGAGGCATCTGAAGACACATGGGGTCCCCTTCCATCCCAGAACTATCCAGATAGCATCTCGTGCCAATTGCCTAGAGTACCAGTTTTGTGGTTCTCATTAACAAGCCCTGATCCTTCACCCTTGCTCCAAACCATAGAAAGCAAAGGCTGGACACTCTGTTGCCAGTATAGCCCAGTCTTTCTCTTCTCAACTACTTGTGAACAGAGTTTTCAGCACATTGCTTCTGGAGATGAAGGGCCTGCTGGGCAGCAATTCAAGGGTTTTGGCCCTTTGGGAAAATTCTAGAAAAATGTTCTAGAACTTCTCTTCAGAAGCACAGGGTCAAGCTCCTTTCTGGAGGCCTCCAGTGACTATCACTATCCTTCCTCAGCTTGCCTTCTGCTTGCTAGACACATTTATTTTTGGCTGGTGGGGCCAGGGAGCCCAGCCTCCCCATAAATACATCTCCTTTTGACTTTGCTTCTCCCAGGTTTGTGCCCAGGAAACTCAGCTTCTTCCAATGTTCTCTGTTTCATTTTTATCAAGATAAACTTCAAAAATTAAGCTCCATGCTGCCTGGGGGAAATCTCATAGCTGGGCCTTACCTTCTTAGCTTAGCTAGGACCTCCTGCTAGCAGCCCCATGGCAGGCTCTGCCCTGCTCTGCCCCGCTCTGCCTGGCTTGGTTCTACTGTGCTGACAAAGCCTTTGGTTGGTTATTCTGAGCTGCCCCTGCTAACTATCCCCAATCCTTGTATTACCATGGTTCCTACTGAAAGGGGCCAACACTGTCAGACAATGTTTCCAACCTATACCAGAAACACATTTGGGCAGATATCATGAAATTTGATATTTTTTCCCACTAAGAGCTATTCCATATGGATCTGAGAACGATTTAATCTTTAAAGCTCTGAAGAATTTTTACATAAACTTATCAGTCATAGAAAATGCTTTGTCAGGCAGAGCAATTTATTTTTAGTTTGAGCAGCATAATCCCTTGTGGTATGACCCAACTCAGCCGGCCATTCTCATCACAGAGATCCCACCCGTATCCCCAAAGGGCTCTCAGTCTGTAGCATGCAGAATTCAGAGGTTCTGAGTTGTCCACTATGGTGGGTGGAGGATCGGAGGGTCAGGCAGAGTGCCCTTCCCTGAGAATTCAAGAAAAGAGCTGGAGGAGTTGAGTGTTGAGGGTGAAGAAGAGAAGAGGTGACAGCCCAGAGAAGCTAAAATTCCAGACTTCCTGACACTGACTGTGTCTGGCTCCCCCAACCCTTGCCACCAACGGCCCCTCACACTTAGAATTCTCACTGTGGCTAATGACTCCCAATGTTTGTAGTGCCGCAAAGTATGTCCAACACATATAAGAAAGATGATGGGCTGCCTTCTTATCTCCAGGGAACAAACCACTCAGTTCTATTCTCCTCACCAAAGATCAGCCACGCAAGGATAGCTGGAGCCCTCCTCCCTCCCTAATACCATGGTGATCATCAAGGCCTCTGATCCCTGTAGCACTCCAAGGCTGGTACGTTATCTATGAACTTAAGAGACATCCTGCCCATCCCACAATAGCATGGTGTTGCGATGGTGACAAGAGTGAGGAGGAATGCCTTGGTCTGACCTCCATGGGCCATGTTCAGCCATCTCTACCTTGCATTTAAGGGTCATTATGGATGGTTATACTATGTCAAAGAAGGTCTCCAAAGATCAAGAGCTGTACTCTGCATTAGATGTGAGGACTCAGATAGCCACCGTTCTAGGAACAAGAAAAACCACCCCAAATGGACACCCACTATAGGTTTTCAAGGACAGGGCCTTAGCTATGGATCCAGCTTGCCTCTCCAGGGAGCCCCCTAGTGGCCACCCTTCTCACTTACACACACAGCCTGGCTTCTTAGCCGACCACTGGTTATTCTTTTGGCACGTGATTGATTTCTGTCCCACCAGCTCAAAGGCAGGCTGGCATTCAAACGTGAGTGTGTCACCATGGCGAAAGCGAGAGCCTTCTCTCTGGCCATAGGCAGGTATGCCAGGGTCTCCGCAACTACCCTGTTCGATCTCTGAAAGACAAGAAGACAGAAAACAAGAGACAGGAAAGGTGATGTTACATCTGTCCTGGCAACACATGTTCCCCACTGCATGCTCTCTTGCTGTCCTCCAAAGAGTCAGAACATGGGATTCATAAGTTATGTAGGACAGTGTCTTAGGACAATACGACCTTCACTTATCATAAGCCCGTGACTCTGTCCACATACTGTATCTCAGAGACTTGGATATCTTCATTCATGAAAGGTGGGTGTTACAGTTTTGGATGTGAAATTTCCCTCTCAGGCTCGTGTGTTTGAACACTCAGGAGTCCCCATCTGGTAGTACTGTTTTGGGAGGTTGTGAAACTTCTGGGACAATAACCTAGTTAGCAGAAGTGGGCTGCTAAGAGGGAGCCTTGAGGGACATCTGCTTCTGATTCTATTTGGCCCGAGCTCTTAGCCTCTTGTTCTGTCAAAGATGTCAACAAGCTGTGTCTCAAGCAAGGTGGGCACTATCCCCATGATATAATAAAAGAAATTAAAAATTTCATCCTTTAATTATATTCTGCATTAGACCTATTCCAGGAGCTAACATGTCCTAGAGTTTGAAGCCATCCTGCCTGAGTTGCACTTTGTTTCTTACTTGTGAACACTGCTGGAGAGATTTTAAGAACAGCCCATCCACCTGAGTAGTGAGCTCAGGCGTGAATCAGGGGCCCTGTGCAGCCTGTCCTCCTCGTGAGCCAGCGTAAATGGGAATCAATACTGGATGCCTTCTGACACAGAAGAGCTTTCAAGATTTTTTTTTTGGTAGATTCAATTTGAGACAGTAATAGATAAAAAGAAACAAATGACTCATTTAGTACGCTTCAAGTTTGCTTGAGCCAACTGGTGAGTCAGCCTTGGAGGTGGGGCTGAGACAGCCCAGCTTGGTGGATCTCAGCAGCTTAAGGCCTCCACCCCACTCCCCAGGAGTCAGCCAGGACTCAGGTGCTTCAGGCAAGGGGTCTGTTTGGGCTGCATCTTTAGGGGTTCTTGAGTTACCCTTTGCTCAGCTCTGTGCTATGAGAGGGAGAGAGAGGGGGTGGGGTGGGGTAGGGGAAGGAGCTCCCTCTAGGAAGGAAGATGCCCTACAAGGAGACAGGAAGTTATTGAGAAAATGTCAGGTGGTGAAGGGAGACTATGAGGGACCTGAGGTTTGGGAGAGCAGGTCCTAGATTCTCCGAGGGAAGTGTTGGGTAACTTTCCAGGACTCTCAGGCAGAAGGGATGCTGTCTTTTCAGTGGATATCACTATGGGGATCAGGAGCCAAGGATTCCAGAAGTCACTGTGTGAGTCTGCAAAAGCTTTCTTGCTATGAGCTGAGCTGTTTCTCTGAGCTGATCAGAGCCACAAAGACTCAGTCGCAGATGCACAGGCTCCTGACGGTTGCGTTCACATTATCCCCCAAGCCTCTTGCTCTCTGCTGAGAGCAGCCAGGACAAAGCATGCTGTGTGGGGACCACATTCCAAGCTGTGCGTTCCAAGTCAAGCATTAGTGATCCCAGAATACAGGGGTCAGTGTGATCATAGGCAAGCACCAAGGACTCTCTAGTACAAGTCAGCTCACTTGTGTGTGTGCGCACACACACACACACACACACACACACACAGAGAGAGAGAGAGAGAGAGAGAGAGAGAGAGAGAGAGAGAGAGAGAGCAGCTGAACTTATATACTCCTTTGCAGCTGGCTTTATGCATGCTAAGGGACAGGGATGGGGCCACACCGAATCTTCCAAGTAAGGGAGGGCTTGCTTCAGATTCTAGAATTCCAGTCATCTAGAGGACAGGAAAAAGGGCCCCATGTGACAAAAAGATCTGAAGAAATAAACATCAGAACCCACCTTCTTCCAGTGTCCCCAAACATGTTCTCTGGGATGCAAGAACTGTCAGGGCAGTGACAGTAAACATTACCTGGCATCGGAAGACAGAGCTCATATTTAAGGTTCCCTAGTGAGGTCCCGTCATACAAAATATATGAGTAGGGTACATCTGCCTGAGTCACTGCCTTCAGCTTGTCTGAGCTCTGACTAGCTCAAGAGAGCATGCGCTTTGGGATGGGGGTGTTCTTCTCAGTCCCCGCTGTGTAGTCAAATCTTCTTGCATATAACTAAACTTGGCTAATTTCTCCCTATCAGCAAGGAAATAGCAGGTATCTAATAAAGACCTGCTGTGTGCTGGGGCCTGTGCCAGACACTGGAGATGGAAAAACTCTCTGTCAACTTGGAACATCCAGAGGAGGGAACATGGTCTACGACATGGGGTCTCAGGATGAAGACAGGATGCCAAGAGCAAGGCACACAAAGTGTTAATTGCCTCACGGACTCCGTAAGACAAGTTCTTTTCATTATAACTATCCTGCTGACATCTCAGTCGTAACATGTTATCGTGTCTTTTTTTTTTTTAGAAGATCATAATTAACATATGTAACATTTAAAACCAATAAGGATGCCAGCCTTGTACTTGGACTGGTTACCTTCCCTCTTACCCTCGTCCTGGTATCTCAGCTTGTCTGCTTCAATTAAAACACTGCTTTTTATTTAAAGCCATGACTTTTTAAATGTTAATTTTGATTTTTAAAATTATTGTCTTGAATGCTATTTATCTTTTTTTTTACATTTTTTATTGGATGTTTTATTTACATTTCATATGTTATCCCCTTACCCCATTCCCTTCTCTGCCCAGGAACCCCCTATCCCATCATCCCTCCTCTTGCTTCTCTGCGGATGTGCCACCAACTACCCCCCACTCCCACCTCCCCACCCTTGAATTCCCACCCACTGGGCCATCCAGCCTTCATGAGACCAAGGATCTCTTCTCCCACCTATGCCCGACAGGGCTCTCCTCCCTTGCATATACAGTTGTAGCCATTGGTCCCTCCCTATGTGCTCCCAGGCTGGTGGTTTAGACCCTGGGAGCTCTGGTTGGTTGGTATTGTTGCTCTCCTCATGGGGCCGCAAACCCTTTCAGCTCCTACAGTCTTTTCTTTCACTCCTACATTGGGAACCCCAGAATGCTATTTATCTTAAAAACTGAATTGGGGCCCTGTTCTCAAATGGTGTGCCTAAAGTGAGCACCTTGCTCATCTCATGGAATCCCAGCCCTGGGTCAGGGAAAGCTTCTTGGAGAAGGTACATTTTGTGCTGAGGCCTAAGACCATGGAGAAGACGTGGTAAATGGCTTGGTGGTGAGATGGAGAGGAAGGGCTCTTGGGGTGGAAGGAAGAAGGCAGGCCAGGTCCCAGATGCAGGATTGTATGGTGGTTTGTGGTATACCTATGAACAACCTGCTGAGCCATTATTATCACGACTAACTTTCATTTATGGAACTAGTGGTTTGCACATTGACTCCAGCCAGTGGCCACTGAACATTTTATATATTAACTCATGTCAGTCACCCTTACAGTATCACTAATAGAAGGCAGTATTTTCTCCCATTTTTAAAAGAGAGGGAACAGGCACATGGCCACCGAGCTCAAAAGTAGTGGATCTGAGACCCACAGACAGTGGACTAGCTTCAGCAATCCCCACTTCTAACGTTCCTGCCTCCTGCAAGGTGGTAAGAGACAAGGCTTGGAATCGCTCTAATGGGGAAGACCATCTCATGTTACAGGCAAGACAGAGCCTGATCAATCTGTGAGCAAGACTGGACTTGAGATGGTCAGTGATGGGCAGCTGATAAAGGATCCTACTCTACCTGGGAGGAGACACTGGTATGTGTGGAAGCTTACTCTGACCTCTGTCTGGGGAATGGTCTAAGAGTAGCTGGCTGGAGGCTAGAACAACATTCATATTCGTTCACTTAATAAATATTGGGACTGTCAGTTTAGTGTGGGTAGTAGAAAATGAAGTCTGGGCCAGGGCAGATAGATGCCTTGCTCCTGTGGAGCTTCTGTTGGTGGGAGATGTTCTGATGATATCGTACACTGGGTCCAGGCAGAGAGGATAGAGAGAACCAGGAAGGTGTGAGGAATCTGGAGTAGGAAGAAGCCACCAGCTGTCCTAAGGATAAGGATGCAGAAGGTTTGGCCTGGCCATAAGGGTGTGTTCCACTCAGACAAGAACACGGGAAGCAGGAGACTGCACAAAGGCCACTAAGGGACAGTTACCTGGATCTCAAATGTAGGGCAGACCTACAGAATTTGAAAATGTAACTTATACATGAGCCAGGAGAAGTATGAGACCAACAAAGCAAGGTGAGAAGAGATGTCATCCCAGAAAGGGACATGATGGACGGTTTTGGGGAAGCAGTAGTAGAGTAGACCCTCTCAAGGCAAGTGCGGGGGCGGGGGGGGTGATCACAGAGCATGGAGGAGGATGAACTAAAAAGATCAGTAGACAGGGAACTTAGGGGTAGAGCAGAAAGCAGAGGATTAAAAGGCGACCATTGTGGGTGCTGTGAGGACCAGCATCATGAGATACCATGTGCTCAACGGGAAGGGAGGATGGCATGATCAAAGGAGCAGAGAACTTTCAAAGAAAGCATTTCTTAGCAGAGGGGAAATAGATCTGGTCATAACTCTTGGGTAACCACCTTAGGATGGTGGTTAAAACATTCTAAAGATGGAATTAGATTGGTCATAGTTTAATTTCTAGGAAGAACAAGTGGGAGGCAGGGGATGCTGAGGAGACTGAATGGCTCAGAGACTATGGAGGGCAGGGAAGGGGAGCTGGAGGCTCCAGAGAGAGAAGAAGCAGAGCCCCTGTGGATGTGGATGCTGGCTGGTTGGCCTTAGTGACAGGGGCAGAGACTCTCCTCACTGACAGGCCTGAATGAGGACAATGCAGTGAGGAGTTTTCAGGTGGAGCAGGAGGTCAAGGTTTTTGTCAAAAGTGAGGTAACTGTCACAGGAAGCAAGACTGGATGCTGACAAGACCTTTTAAAGCTGTCCCTCTAGAGAACAGGAGAAGGAAGCTCAGTGGACAGCCACGGACCTGTTATCTCACCCACTCTCCTGTATGGACAGCATCTGGCAGCACTGCCTGCCTTGCTCA